ACGGCACGAAGCTATAGTTCTCATCGGCATATCACCCACAGACGGACGGTCAAACCGAGCGGACCAATCAGACCATGGAGCAGCTGATCAGGACAAACTGCCCCGACCCTGCCCGCTGGGAAGAATCTCTCGCAATGTTGGAATTTGCTTTCAACAACGCGCCGTCCAGTACGACTAATCACTCACCGTTCTTCCTGAATTACGGGATGGACCCAACAGTTCCTACGGCAACTACACTCGACAACCCGGTCCCGAGGTCACAGACTTTCGTGACGGAACTCCAGGAAGTCCGAGAAAAAGCCGCAGACGCAATTCGCAAGGCGAATATTACTTCCCGAAAATACACTGACCTTCTACGCCGGGAACTCGTCTTGACCACTGGGCAACTGGTGCTACTTGACACGAAGAACCTGCACCTGCCCGGCCCGTCGAAGCTACGACCACGATTTTGTGGACCGTTCAAGATTCTCAAGATGGTGACACCTGTCACCGCGAAGCTGTTGCTACCCGACGACTGGCGAATTCATGACGCCTTCCACGTCAGCCTTCTTCGCAAGTTCGTGCCAGCCACAACCGACATCGCACGTCAGCAAGCTGCCCCGACAGCACGACCTGTCCCGGAGCCGACCCTTGACCCTTCGAAAATCCTAGCTCATCGGGTCCGACTTGACGCAGCTGGACGACACGTGGATTTCTTAATCCGATGGACTGACCGCACCAGTGAGGACGACACGTGGGTGCCATCCGCCTCGCTCGACGCCTCGCCACTGATTGGTGATTATTTGGCGCGCAAGCGTGTTTCGGACATTGACAGCCTTTCTTAAGGGGGGGGGTAGTGTAAGGAATTTTCCTTAATTCCTTATCGGGTTGACTGCTACGCGTACAGCCCGATTTTCGGACTTCGCACGTTCGGCCGATTTCAACGCCGCCGAGGCTCCCCGCGTCGCCTTCGGCATTCCCCATCGCCAAACCTGCACCCAACCTCGTTTCCCGAGGTTTCCTCCTAGCTAGGCTAGCCCTACATTAGTCTGTGCATTCATTGTATTCTCAGTTCGTTCAATCACAGTCTCGTTATTTGTTTACCTGCGCACTCTCTTTTACAAACTCATAACAAAATGGGTCTGGGGTGTTGCCGAAATGTTCCCTGTTACCAATGGCATCGCCTTCGTCCCAGCTTTCGGAAGATACATTTTTTATGTCCATACAGCGGACATTGTTTCTTCTGTTAAAGCCCAGCCCCCGAATTACTGAAACGCCTTCACAAACTGGGCCCAGTTTGTGTCTCGCTCCTTCAGGTTTCGGGAAAGAGAGGTTTAGGGGAGGTTTTCGAACCTCAACACTCAGCTTTCCCAAACCTATTTTCCCGCGTTGACTTCCGTTGAGTAATTCAGGTGTTGCCCTTTAACAAGGCATTTCTCGATGCTGACCTGGCAGTTCTTGATATCTCCGCGACGCTTTATTGGTTTCCTATGCAAGAACTTAAAGCCCAAGACCTGAATTACTCAACGGAAGTCAACGGAAAAAATTAGGTTCGGAAGGCAGGCAGACGGAGGTTCGGTTGGGGTGCGAAGCACTTTCACTCGCGAAACCAATTTGCGACAAAAGTCTGTCGCGTACAAGAATACGAGTGATGGTTGGGGTCCCTCACACAACAACCAGAAAAGGGCGTCCATCCCAAACTGTGCACAGTTTGGGATAGCACGCAGATAGCAAGGCATAGAGCACACCTGTAGACATAGCGAGGAATCAGAGGCGGCTTACGAATGTGTGTGGCGCGGATTTCGATGACGACGCGCAAAGATAGTGTGCGCTCGTGTCGAAATGCAGGTTTGAGTGCAACTGAGGCGTAAACTCGCGGCGAATATCTTACCGTGACCCTTCGCCCAAGCGTGAACCTCTCCTCGCCATCGCTTACCTTACCCTAGTTCCCACGCTTCCGATCTCTTTCGCCATCTCTTCCCCAGCTCGTCGCCTTCAAGACCCCAGCCCGATGCCTTCGGGACCCCAGCCCGTCGCCTTCGCTCCGCCTGTCGCCTTCGCTTTCCACGCCTGTCGCCTTCACTTCCCCTCCCCCGTCGCCTTCACTTCCCCTCGCCCCGTCGCCTTCACTTCCCCCCCACCCCGTCGCGCAACATTCCCCCTCCCGTCGCCTTTCCCGCCCGTCGCCTTCCCTTCCTCTACCCATCGCTCTCGCTTCCCCCGCCCGTCGAACTCGCTTCCCCCGCCCGTCGCTCTCGCTTCCCGCGCCCGTCGCACTCGCTCCCCCCGCCAGTCGCACTCGCTTCCCGCCCGTCGCACTCGCTTCCCGCCCGTCGTACTCGCTTCCTGCCCGTCGCCTTCACTACCCCTCCCATTGCCGTTCACTCTCTCCAGCTCACGCTCTCCCCCCCGCTCACTCCCTTGCCCACCCTGCAATCTCTTCTCTCCTGTACTCCCTTTCCCCCTGTTCTCACCCCTCTCTTTCCCCCTTCACTCAACCCTTCCCCCCTGCTCACGCTCCTCCCCCCTGCTCCCTCCTTTCCCCCCTGACTCTCTTCTCCCCTGCGCACTGCACACTCTCTTCCCACCCCCCTGACTCTCTTCCGCCCTGCGCACTGCACACTGTCTTCCCACCCCCCTGACTCTCTTCCCCCCTGCGCACTGCACACTCTCTTCCCACCCCCCTGACTCTCTTCCCCCCTGCGCACTGCACACTCTCTTCCCACCCCCCTGACTCTCTTTCCCGCTGCTCACTCTCTTTCCCCCTGCTCACTCTCTTTCCCCCTGGACTCACCCATGTTTCCCCCCTGTTTATTCTCTATTCCCCTTTGTTCAACCTTTTTTCCCCACACTCCCTCTCATTTCCCCGGTTCAGACCCCTCGTTTTCCCCTGCTTACTGGCTTTCCCCCCTGCTCCCCCCCGCCTTCACTCTCTTTCCCCTTTTTTTCTCACCCCTCTGCCCCGTCCACATCCAACCCTCGCTTATCTGCCATACCCCCTCTTCCATCCCCGTTCTTGGACAGGTGCCCAGCACCATGAGTCCCAACAGGACTGTGATGAGAAGTTACCACCTTCTAGCTTTGTGCATTGTGCCTATAGTCCACTGTTGACAACTTTTATATGCTTTGTTCCACTTCTTTGTAGTGGCCATGTGCATGGCTGCTCTGAAGCCGAGAATGTTTTATCATGATACGCATAAACATCAATACATGGCATGGCTACCTACCACTAATCATCAACCATGAAACGCCGCACAACTGGATGCATGGCAGACCTGCACAAACACGAACTATAAAATTTGATGTGTCATATGGTTTGTTGAAGCAGCTGGGAAGTGTCAGAATGTTATCTTATGCTCTAGCCTGTAGTGGGGTGCTCTATAGCGAGTACAACCCTTCTAGGGTTTCCTATTTGTATCCCCATTCTTGCTAGTGCAACCCCCTTCTTCCCTCTTCTTTCTTCTAAACTTTAACATGCTATCAGAGCAGGTCGATCCCCTTGGATCGATCTTGTGGGTGGGCTCACCACCTTGTTGCTTCCGCTGCAACTGCTACTGCTACTCTCTGTGCCGCACGCCCCGTGGCGTGCGGCAGTTTTTCTTCCCGCCGTGCGCCCCGAGGCGCGCGGCGGTTTTCTGCCCGCCGTGCGCCCCGAGGCGCGCGGCGGTTTTCTGCCCGCCGTGCGCCCCGAGGCGCGCGGCGGTTCTCTGCCCGCTGTGCGCCCCGAGGCGCGCGGCGGGCTTCTGCCCCGTTGCTCGGCGCGTCGCCCTCGGGAGGCGCTGCGACGGGCGACGGGGACCCGCGCGTCGCCCCCCGTCGCCCGTCGTGGCCTGCGCGCGGCCCCTGCAGCCCCGTCGCGCCGCCCAGGGGAGCCGCGCGCGGCCCTGCTGTCCCGTCGCGCTGCCCAGGGGAGCCGTGCGCGGCCCCTGCTGCCCCGCCCCGTCCCGGACCTGCCCCGGCCCCGACCTGCCCCGGCCCAACTCCCGTCGCCCGTCGCGGCGCCCTGGGGGGGGCCGCAAGCGGCCCCCCCCAGCGTCGCCTCGACAGGCGACGGGAGGGGAGTATGCAGGGGGCCGCGCGTCCTCCCCCCCCCCCCCCCCCCCCCCCCCCCACCCTGTTTTTAGGGTTTGGGGGGTGGCGGTTGGGGGGTGGCAGTTGGGGGGTGGCGGGTTTGTGTTTAACCCTTCTCCTCCTCCTCCTCCGTCTCCCTGTGCTGCAGCTGCCGCTGAGGGGGGGTGGACGTGTTGGAGCCGGTGGAGTGGTACTAAGGGGGGGTGAAGGGGGAGTGGAGCTAGCGGTGTAGCAGCGGGTGTGTGCCAGGGGGGAGTGGGATAGTTTGGGGAAGCTGAATGGAGGTTGCCGTCGTGTCGCCAGCAGCACCTGTATTCCGGGGACTTCGTCCGGTAGCCCAGTCGTAGCCAGCTGTGCCAGCCGCCCGTGGGTCCGTTGCTCGTCTGCCGCTACTTTAGCCGCGGGGCCTGTTACTCCTGTATTCCGGGGACTTCGTCCGGTAGCCGCTGTGCCAGTCTGCCTCCTGTTGCCTGTGTGTCTGCAGCTTCAGCCGTCGCCTCCTATCTCCTCTCCTCTCACTCTCTCTCCTCCTCCTCACTTGCCCGTTGTGACTACCACTAGCTTTGCTCATAATTGTGAACTTAAACTATTGCTTCTTGAACTTGTGCTCAGAATGTGTGGTGACATTGTGATCCACCCTGAGCTTGTACTCCTTTGCTTACTCTGCTGATTACACCCCACTTTGGCTATGGGGGTGTGTCAGAATGTTATCTTATGCTCTAGCCTGTAGTGGGGTGCTCTATAGCGAGTACAACCCTTCTAGGGTTTCCTATTTGTATCCCCATTCTTGCTAGTGCAACCCCCTTCTTCCCTCTTCTTTCTTCTAAACTTTAACACAGGAAGGACCGTACAAAACAATGACAATCGATGGGCAATCCCCTTGAATATACAAACAGGCTAGGAGTGTACAGGCGTGGAAGGGAAAGGGGGGATGGGAGGATGTGAGGAATTCAAGTAGGGAGTAGCAAGTGGGTCAGACAGAAAAGGCGACCGATAGGCAGATCGGCCGGTGGCAGCTTGAAAAAAAGGGCGGCAGGGTGGAGGGGCAGGAGGATGAAACAAAGAGTGGGTGGGAGAGTGGTAGGGTGGAGGGAGGCTTGGAGAAAGGGCTGATGGGAGAAAGTGAAGGAGGGAAAGAGAGAGAAAGAGAGGAAGGGAGGATGAGAGGAGAAGGCGGATGAGAGGACGAGAGGATGAGAGGAAGGGCGGATGAGAGGAAAGGTGGATGAGAGGAAAGGTGGATGAGAGGAAAGGCGGATGAGAGGAAGGGAGGATGAGAGGACGGGGGGATGAGAGGACGAGAGGATGAGAGGAAGGGCGGATGAGAGGAAGGGAGGATGAGAGGAAGGGCGGATGAGAGGAAAGGCGGATGAGAGGAAGGGAGGATGAGAGGACGAGAGGATGGGATGAAGGGAGGATGAGAGGACGAGAGGATGAGAGGAAGGGAGGATGAGAGGAAGGGATGATGAGAGGAGAGGGTGGATGAGAGGACGAGAGGATGAGAGGACGAGAGGATGAGAGGAAAGGCGGATGAGAGGAAGGGTGGGTGAGAGGAAGGGAGGAAGGGAGGATGAGAGGAAAGGAGGATGAGAGGAAGGGCGGATGAGAGGGTGGCGGGAAATGTGGGCGACGGTGGGGGGAAGCGTGGGAGACGGTGGGGGGAAGCGTGGGACAAGGTGGGGGGAAGCGTCCGCGACAATGGGGGGAAGCGTGGGCGATGGTGAGGGAAACGTGGGCGACGGTGAGGGGAAGCGTGTGAGACAGTGGGGGGGATCCTGGGCGAGGGTGGGGGGAAGCGTCCGTGACGGTGGGGGGAAACGTGAGCGATGGTGGGGGGAAGCATGGGCGACGGTGGGGTGAAGCGTGGGCGAGGGTGGGATGAAGCATGGGCGGCGGTGGGGTGAAGCGTGGGCGAGGGTGGGATGAAGCATGGGTGACGGTGGGATGAAGCATGGGCGACGGTGGGATGAAGCATGGGCGATGAGCGGGGAAGCGTGAGGGAAGATGGGGGAAAGCGCGAGCGACGGTGTCCCCGGGCGTGGGGTAAGGCAGGAGGATGCGTGAGTGGCGGTAAGGGGAAAGCGTGAGCGACGTTGTGGGAAACGTGGGCGACGATGAGGGGAAACGTGGGCGTGTGCGTGGGGGGGTGTGTGAGAGACGGCAGGGGGAAGCGTGGGGGACGCGGACGGCGATAGGGCCAAAATGCGATGTTTGCGGAAAGGCGATGCAAGGGCTTCCCAAGTGAGGAAACGTGGGCGCGCCTGTCAGGAGAGTGGGGAGTGGTGGGGACACGACAATGGAGAAAGAGGGTGGTCGAAGTGGTGAAAGAAGCGTCGGAATGGGGCACGACGACGTTGACGAGGAAGCGACGGGAGGGGAGAGGGGTAAGGGCGACGGGAGGGCAATGACGACGGGGAAACAGGGGAAGCGAGGGCGACGGTGCGTCAACGGGGAGGACGATGTGAGGGAAATTGAGGTTCACCATTTCACCGCGACGTGGAATAATATGCGCTTCGCGCCTTTCACGCTTGGGATGAGGGTAAACTATGTGTGGTAGGGGTTGAAGTTAGGAAATTGCCAATTTCCTATGCTTTAGTGGCTCCTCATTCTGTCTCACCGCATGATCTACGAGTTTCGCATACTAGCCACACAAGCATTCCTGAATTACCATTTTTTGCAAACTGTGCACAGGCAATGCCCTTCTTCCTTCAGCAAATGGTGGTTGGGACTCTCGCCAAGCAGACCTGTTCTGCTCTACGACTCAGTATTTTTGTGGCGCGACGTTTTCTGGTTACCAGCGTGGCTCGGGAGGTCAACTGTGGGTTCGGTAGGCAAACTGTGCACAGTTTGCCTTTTTTTTTTGTAATTCAGGTCTTGGGCTTTAAGAAGTGGCTACTGCTCCTGGATTCCTATTCGGACTTTATCAAGTTTATTCAGCGTTCAACTTCCAAGGTTTCTACCTCGGAGTTGCATCAACAACAACCAGGACAATGGTTTCATCACTCCTTGGAACTACTTAAAGCAGCGGTATACATTTGGCAGGGGGGCTGCCCAAAGTTTATAAAAGGGACATGGTGGATACCAAGTTACAGGCCCACTCAACTTCACTCACGAGCGACGGTTCCCAAGAGTCCCCAACCCTGCCACCAGCCAAGTCCACTCAAGTGTCGAAAGTTTATACATGCCAAAAGTATACTGAAGGTGCTCCCTCCCCGACAAGCCGTCACCCACTTTACCCGTGAACTACTAAGGAAACTAGCTATTCGCACCAATCTGTGCCATCACGATCAAGCTTGCGGGCTCGCTTAGGTCAAACGCCGTCCATAGCATGGCGTAGGGTTTGCGACGCCTCATAAGACCTCGCTTCGTAGACTCGCCTCAACGCCCGTCGCGGCGTCACCTCTCGGCAAATCCGCTCCCGAAGTCGCCGCGCTGCAAATTCATTCGCCGCGTCGCATCGCCGCAAATCTGCGCGCGGCTTCCCCTCGCCGCAAATCCGCGAAGCGGCGTCGCCTCCCCGCAAATCCGCGAAGTGGCGTCGCCTCGCCGCATGAGGCGAAGCGGCGTCGCCTCCCCGCAAATCCGCGAAGCGGCGTCGCCTCGCCGCAAATCCGCGAAGCGGCGTCGCCTCGCCGCTGATCCGCGAAGCGGCGTCGCCTTACAGCTCCCCGTTCTCCCCGTCGTGCCTCCCGTTCTCCCATTCCCACCCCCGATCTCCCCTTACAGCTCCCCGTTCTCCTCCGCGTGCCTCCCGTTCAACCATTCCCATTCCCGTTTCCCTCTCTTCCTCGCCTTCCCTCGTTTCCCTCTCTTCTCTCCCTTCCTTCGCTTCCCAATCTTCCCTCCCTTCCCTCGTTTCCCTCTCGTCCCTCCCTTCCTGAGTTTCCCTCTCTTCTCTCCCTTCCCGCGGTTCCCTCTCTTCCCTCCCTTCCCTCGTTCCCTCTCTGCCCTCCCTTCCCTTGTTTCCCTCTCTGCCCTCCCTTCCCTCGTTTCCCTCTCTTCCCTCCTTCCCTCGTTTCCCTCTCTTCCCTCCCTCCCCTCGGTTCCCTCACTATCCTCACTTCCCTCGATTCCCTCTCTTCCTCCCCTTCCCTCGTTTCCCTCTCTTCCTCGCCTTCCCTCGTTTCCCTCTCTTCTCTCCCTTCCCGCGGTTCCCTCTCTTCCCTCCCTTCCCTCGTTTCCCTCTCTTCCCTCCTTCCCTCGGTTCCCTCTCTTCCCTCCCTCCCCTCGGTTCCCTCACTATCCTCCCTTCCCTCGATTCCCTCTCTTCCTCCCCTTCCCTCGTTTCCATCTCTTCCTCGCCTTCCCTCGTTTCCCTCTCTTCCCTCTCTTCCCTCCCTTCCCTCGCTTCCCTCTCTTCCCTCCCTTCCCTCATTTCCCTCTCTTGCTCCCCTTCCCTTGTTTCCCTCTCTTCCCTCCCTCCCCTCGGTTCCCTCACTAACCTCCCTTCCTTCGATTCCCTCACTTCCTCCCCTTCCCTCGTTTCCCTCTCTTCCCTCCCTTCCCTCGTTTCCCTCTCTTCCCTCCCTTCCCTCGTTTCCCTCTCTTCTCTCCCTTCCCGCGGTTCCCTCTCTTCCCTCCCTTCCCTCGTTCCCTCTCTGTCCTCCCTTCCCTTGTTTCCCTCTCTTCCCTCCCTTCCCTCGTTTCCCTCTCTTCCCTCCCTTCCCCCATTTCCCTCTCTTCCCTCCCTCCCCTCGGTTCCCTCACTATCCTCCCTTCCCTGTTTCCCTCTCTTCTGTCCCTTCCCCCATTTCCCTCTCTTCCTCGCCTTCCCTCGTTTCCCCTCTCTTCTGTCCCATCCCTCGTTTCCATCTCTTCCTTGCCTTCCCTCGTTTCCCCTCTCTTCCCTCTATTCCCTCGTTTCCCTCTCTTCCCTCCCTTCCTTCGTTTCCCTCTCTTCCCTCACTTCCCTCGTTTCCCTCTCTTCCCTCCATTCCCTCGTTTCCCTCTCTTCCCTCCCTTCCCTCGTTTCCCTCTCTTCCCTCCCTTCCCCGTTTCCCTCTCTTCTGTCCCTTCCCTAGTTTCCCTCTCTTCCTTGCCTTCCCTCGTTTCCCCTCTCTTCCATCTCTTCCCTCGTTTCCCTCTCTTCCCTCCCTTCCCTTGTTTCCCTCTCTTCCCTCCCTTCCCTCGGTTCCCTCTCTTCCCTCCCTTCCCTCGTTTCCCTCTCGTCCCTCCCTTCCCTTGTTTCCCTCTCTTCCCTCCCTTCCCTCGTTTCCCTCTCTTCCCTCCCTTCCCTCGTTTCCCTCTCTTCCCTCTGGTTCCCTCCCCTCCCTCCTTTCCCTCCAACCCCTCCCTTCTCCCCCTTCTCCCCATTTCCTCCCTTCTCTCCCTGCTTGCATTCAGAATCTCTCCTTTTCCTCCCTCCCCTCCTGTCTCTCCCTTCCCTCCCTTCTCTCCCTTCCCTCCCTTCTCTCTCTTCCCTCCCTTCCCTCCCTTCCCTCCCTTCCCTCCCTTCCCTCCCTTCCCTCCCAAAACTCCCTTCCCTCTCTTCCCTCCTTCCCTCGGTTCCCTCTCTTCCCTCCCTCCCCTCGGTTCCCTCACTATCCTCACTATCCTCCCTTCCCTCGATTCCCTCTCTTCCTCCCCTTCCCTCGTTTCCCTCTCTTCCTCGCCTTCCCTCGTTTCCCTCTCTTCTCTCCCTTCCCGCGGTTCCCTCTCTTCCCTCCCTTCCCTCGTTTCCCTCTCTTCCCTCCCTTCCCTCGTTTCCCTCTCTTCCCTCTGGTTCCCTCCCCTCCCTCCTTTCCCTCCAACCCCTCCCTTCTCCCCCTTCTCCCCATTCCCTCCCTTCTCTCCCTGCTTGCATTCAGAATCTCTCCTTTTCCTCCCTCCCCTCCCGTCTCTCCCTTCCCTCCCTTCTCTCCCTTCCCTCCCTTCTCTCTCTTCCCTCTCTTCCCTCCCTTCCCTCCCTTCCCTCCCTTCCCTCCCTTCCCTTCCTTCCCTCTTACCCTCTCTTCCCTCCCTTATCAACCTTCCCTTTCTTCCCTCTCTTTCCTCCCTTCCCTCCCCTCCCTCCCTTCCCCCTCTTCCCTCCCTGCGATCTCTTTCTTCTCTTCTCTCCCCCCCCCCCCCCCCCCCCACCTTCTCCTCCATCCCTCAGCACGGCCCCCATCAGCGCCAAAAAATTAGGGCCGCCCCTTGTCCATCTCCTCCCTTTGGTTCATAATATCCCGCCTCCTCCATCTCCCTTCCCCGCCTCCCCTCCTCCCGTTCCTCTCAGGCACTTTCTGCCCTTCAGTCCCACCTCTTCATCCTCACCCCTCCACTTCGCCTACCCATCTCCTCAAGCCCTCTAACCTTCTGGTCATCCCTGCCTTGTTGTCTCCCCTTCATGCCTCCCATCACCACTCCTTCCTCTCGAATGTTCCTTGGGCTCATACCCCCTCCTCTGACCTTCCTCGCAACTTGTCTCACCTTGTCCTTCCCCCACCGTGTTGTTTCTTGTCTGTGAAGTAATCGCGACTCCACCGTTGCTTGTGCTGCAGAGGGAGTGCACAGGAAGTTCAACCAGTTCCAAGGATTAGACACCCGAACCTATCCACTGCAGTGTGAGTCGGTCTGCTATCTGCACCCACCCTACCCTCCAACGTACCCTGCCGTACCCTTCTATCTCCTCCCATACCCATACATAGGCCAGCCAAACTCACCCCTCCCCTGCCATACCTTGCCGCTCCTTGCCATACCCTGCCCTACAATTCCCTCTTTAGCAGAAGTGTACCATACCATTCCATACTCCAGCCATACCCATCCATCCCACACCATACCCATCCATCGCCTGCCATACCCATCCATCCCATACCATACCCATCCATCGCCTGCCATACCCATCCATCCCGCTCCATACCCTGCCATACCCTACCCTTCGTTTTGCGCTCGCAATCCATCGATGGATCAACACATTAGGTCCCCCCACTTCCCTACCTGTCCTCTCATCCACCCCTGCAGGGATGACTTCCAATCCCTGCACACACCGCTGCTTTGTTTTGCCTACTCCCTACACCAAGTTCCCCACTCCTTTCTTATGTTGCCCGCCAGAAATCATTGATGTTCTCGTAATGACGTGGGTGTCGACAACGATTGACGCTAGGTTTCAGGATTGGTTCTGAAGATGAGCAAAAAGAGCAGCGACAGGGTGAAGGGGGGATAAAAATCGAGCACGGGCATATGACTAGCAACATGGGGGGTATGGTGGAATCCAGGGTTGGGTGATTAGGGTCCTTGTATTTAGTCAATACTGTTGTAAGTACTCCATTTGTAAAACGTTGCAAAGTGTTTATAGCTTGAAGGCCTTCAATGTACTGAACCCAGACACAGTGGGCGCAAACACGCATGTGGGAGTGTTTGGATGTATAATATACTACAAACGGAACTTGTCAACTATGCTGGGAGCTGCCGCACGTGCAGCTTGCTGCAATTGCATGCCTGGCGTGGTGTGCAGCAGAAGAGAGCAATGCAGTGTGAGATGCTTGGTGGACCTGCCAGTGAGGGGAGTGCCATTGCTTGGTCAGAGGCGCTTATCACCTAGACCACCACCACCATCCGAAGCAGCCCCATTTCCACCTCCACCTGCCTCCAGGCCAGCAGCAGCAGAAACGGATGCGGAGTGGTCTAGCATCCCTTCCAGTGCTGCCATGTGTGCCGCACAAAAGTCGGCAGGCGAAACCAAGCCAGTCATGCCTGCCGTGTGACGGGTCGTGCACGCAAGCTTGGCCGCTAGCAGCTGGGAGGAAGACACGGGGGTGGTTGGGTTGGGAGAATGGAAGGGGGGAAGTAGGCAGAAACAGTGAGAAAAGAAAAGGGAGGAGGGTCTAGGGAGACTCGGCGGGGTGAGTATGGTATGAGGAAGAATGGGGCGGGGCTGGGGGAACGAGGAGATGAGAAGAGGAGGATGGTTTGCATGTTGCATGGGGGTGAGAGCGGGCCTGAAGGATTGAACTCACATTCCATTGGGCTGGTTGTAAGGAGGGTCGAGAAAAGGGTCCGAGGAGGACGGGAGAATGAAAAGGGGGACCTTGACATGCAAATGCAGCTCTTGTATGCTTTGATACAATAGAACAATCACACGCTGGTCAATGCTACAATGTGCCACTAACCACACTATGCACTCCACCATGCATGCCATCACCCACACCCCCATGCACATCACCATACATTCCACCACGCACACCACCACGCATGCCACCACGCAGCCTATCATGCTCACCACCACGCATGCCACCACGCACCCCTTCATGCTCACTCCCAATCTCACGGCCAGTAGAAGAACCGCCACTGGCCCCCTTCTGATTGGCTGCATTCGCATCCACACCATCGCCACTCGCGCAGTCCCCCCATGCCACCAGCTCCACTGTCCTGGAAGAGCCAATCACAGAGAGGTGGCGCTTGCCGAGAGGGGGCGAGAGCACAGCGCCCCTGCTGCCCCGCGAGAGCGCATGTCAGCACCTCCCATTTGCCGTCCGGCATCTCCATCCCCACCGCCACCTCCCCTACTGCCACCGGCTGGAATGCCACGTACCTGATGATACGACGGGGTGGGATGGGGTGGAGTGTGGATAAGCATGGTGGTCAAGGTTGCGTTAGGATGGAATGGTGCGCGATGTGATGGTTGACTGACGGGTAGATGAGCATGACAGAGGGAGGAGGGTGCGTGCACCGGCAGAGTAGCTGCTTGCTTCTTGGAAGAACATACCAGCAAAGGGAAACGGGGTTGACCATGCAGGAGGTTCCAGTGACATTGTGTACCGAAGTTTGTAAGCATCACACACACTTTGAGATAACAAACTCACACACGGATGGCAGCCCTCAAATAATTCGTTCGCCTTGACGTCATCGCATGTTGGTCAGGGGTCCTGCAATCAATGAGTATACATGTCCATGTGTAACATTAGCAAGTGTTACGGGACAAAAAACGATGACGAAATGTACCCCCATTGACTTACCAAGCAAGGATCGCGAGGCTGTGAAGGGTTGTCCCTCATTGGTACGCCTCCGCTTCGTAGGGGGCTCGGGTGTTGCCGGTGCAGTGGGGGTAGCAGTGTCAGGCCCGGGTTCCGCTGAAACAGCAGGCGTCATGCAATTCCACTCTCGCATTATGTCGTCGACCCAACTCCAGTTTATAGGCCCTAAGATTCGCGAGCTCTTACCACGCCGCACCCTGGTAACTCGACTCATCCTGATCTTGGTTGCACGAACCTCCCTATCCAATGAATGGTTCCAATGCAACACGGTAAGACCAACCCGCGCCCTCATGCTTCCACGAAACAATGTGCGTTTCGGAGCATACTTGCATATCAGTGAATGAAATGATTCATTCATCCAATTGCAAGACCCGTGAACATATGGTCTCATCTCTGCCTCCCCACAATTTTCCTCTAGCCACTCCTTGAATGCGATATGTGTACGAGAACCATGTTGGTACAGTACACTCTCTGGTCCCCAGTTATCAGCCACGCATCTAGGTGTCTCTGTGCCCCCACCACAGCGCGAATGGTCTCCAGCCGAGTGATCAGCTGCACTCCCAATCTCCTTGGCCACATCCTTAGCAGTCATTGGGACTCCCTGTTTCCAGCGTAGCGCGCATCGTGCCATCACATGATGGAAGTGTACACTAAACCTTTGCGCCACTGTCACCTCCTCGATCAGCTCATCCGGATCTTCCATAACCTCCTCTTGCACTGCAGCGCCCGCCCCACTCCTCTTCCCGCCACGGGAGCCCCTATCCACCCAGCGCCGAGCGTGCTCCGTGGTCTCTCTATCCCCGTCTGCTCCAGCTGCACTTGCTCCATTTGTACCTGGTGGGAGTGGCATGACAATACATGGGATTTGGGGTTTCGAAATCGCTCTCTGAGGACTCATGTGCAAATGTGCTAATGGATCATATGTATCACAACATGGATGGAATAGCATAAGGGACATCATTGCAATGAAACATCTCACCAGTCTCATCAGCACTGGATCTGTGTCTCGGTGCGGCGGCCACCATGCCACGAGTCGCATCGGCGTGGCGCGCCGCAGAGGCCTGCATGATGAAGAAAGATGCCACCGAGCAGGGCCGCACTCCATGCTCGGGATGTGGATCGTATCCCCACAGCTCTCTAACATCCGAATAATGCAAATCTATCCGACCAGGATCGACTGCAGTCTCTGTGGCCCCCTCCTCCAGAATGTCAATAGCAACAAAGTCGGAACAGCTCTCACGCGTGAGAAAGCTCTCTGTCGTCGCATCATACTTGTCTCTGCTCTCCTCATTTGACTGAGTGATCGGAACGTCAACTCTCTCCACCCTCTCCCCGCCCCCTGTGCACGACCCCTCGGGACAAGTCGTGCGGGAGGCTGATGATGTGGCCGCCCTGCTTTTGCCGTGTCTGCGGCGTATACGTGTAACTCGTCGCATCTCAGGGTACTTCCACGGCGAATCATCCTTAGACAAATCCACGTACTGGATACCACTCACACGACACACCTCCTTTATGAGTTTTATTCTGGGCGTTTTTTTGTTTATACCTTTGAGACCTGAACCTCCATGAACTTTCAACCAGGCACGCATATAATCCGGCTTGACATTCCACCAATCTTCAATGGTCTTTGCCTCAATGGCACTGATCGTGTCCTTTCGAGCGTCCACGAAAAACTTGACGAACTTTCGTGACAACGAACGACCTTTGTGCCATACGTCCATTTGATGCTCAATGTCTGTACCAAGAATACCAACCTTGAAACTCGTCCCCTCGTCAGTAATGATACCTTTCACAGGAAACCCCCACTTCTTGAAGTCTTCCAACCCCCTCTCAAAAGCCCTTCCCTCTAGTTGCGTCGACGACACACCTTCTTCGGTCTTGGGTAGTGTCACACAGTGTATAATCCTACGCGTGAAAGGATCCATAAATGTGACGCTGCACCACTCGGCCTCTCGTACCTGACCCCACCTACCATCCACGCAAATCCAATAACCACTCTCCTTACGAGCTAGCATGCACTCACGCGCCTTTTCCATACACCTCGTAGCATGAGCAATGATCTTTTCCCACAAACCACCCGCCCCGCTCATGTACTTGTAAAACGTTCTCTTACATGGGATTGGCACACCCAAATTCCTGCCTACCTCCGACAGAGCCTGGTAACCGAAACCTGCAAGTGCGAAAGACGCGAGGAACCGTTGCAGCATCGGCAAACTTTTCCGGCCAGGCTTGTCTGCAGCGCTCGGTGGTGGCTTGCGATCGACAGACCAGACCGAAACGGACTTTCCACACCTATCGCAGGTCCACACCAGTCCGAGGACAGCCCACACCAGTCCGAAGACAGCCCACACCAGCTTCCAAGAGCGTAGCTTCATGGATCCACCACAACCTCCACTCGCAGTGCAATGAAGAGTCATAACCATGAAAAACCGAATGAGGTGTATCGGGTTCAGCAGGCATACGACATCGCGAAGCCCGGTGAGGGTTGGTTGAGCAGGCCAGCGTCCAACTCTGGGCTCGGACTAACTGTCCTGAACGTGGGCGCTCCTGCATCGATGAATTGTTGACGAGAAAAAAACAATGGAATACACACATGAACAACCGGGTTGATAGCCAAATACATGAGTGTGTAATTGTGGACATCAATAATAAACCGTTACTGTTGGTTGCTCGCGCAGCATTGATTAAGGAAGCCCGATAGTTGGGGACATGGAGTGCAACAAGGTGAGTCTACAAGGCCATACAGAATCTTACCCCGCATCGGTGTGTGGATCGGCATTGTCTGAAGTATCCACGTGGGTGACTCCTGCCGGCAATCCACTCGGGTCTCCACATTCAGGATCCACCGTGATAGAAACATCGCCTTCTTGGGGAGGGACACACGGATCTATGTCGATCACCACCTCCCGCTGCTCCATGCACCCCTCACCAACGACGTCGCTCTCATTCAATGATGCTGAGACGTCATTCGGGTCATCTGTTGGTTCCAAAATTAACATTACCGATCGAAATGTGTTATTGAAGGCACTCCCACATGCGCACCTCAAAGCGTACTGTACTAGATGACGCACACACATACCATTCTGTGGCTGATTTGCATCTGGCGAATCATGGTCCGCACTCGTCCCTCCATCAACCGTCGCCCCGCCCCCTGTGCGCGCAGGACGTTTCCCCTGAAATGCAGGGAACGCGTAAACCAGGCCTCCTATTGCGATAGGTTGCCCTTCCATCAATGCTTCGGGCCGACCAGCCGCACGATCCCGTTCTCCTTGAAAATTTTCAGCAAACCTCGTCAAATACTCTTCCACCCTCCCTTGTGCCTCTTCACCGTCCGCACCTGACCAATCGTGGTTTCAACGTCAGAGTGTCGGCTACATGCGTTCCCTTAGTACAGACGGAGGTGGGGTATCACTCAAACAAACTCCACTAAACCATGGACATTGAATACTCCACTCACCAGCTTTTTTTGCTGCCATCATGAGCGCATCTTTTGCCCCTGACCCAGAGTGCAAGAGGAAGTACACCAAGTCGGACACTGTCGCGGTTCGACCCTCACCCATCAGCGAGCTCAGACCACACCGCAAGTAGCAAATTGGAATTTGCATCGTCTTTGATATCGCGAGGCTTGCCTGGTCCTTGCCCTTTACAATCTCTTGTACCCTTGATCTCCATGTTGCGGAGGAGATCTTTCTCGGACGATCCATTCTGCACACCATGCACCCAAATTGATTATTTGCAACATATGCATTTCAAGTAGCGGATTGGGCGAGCCAACCGCATAGGAGAGGGCTGGCCAGCCCCTTTGGTTGCGGTGGGCCCGCCCATAGGATGAGGCGAACATACCGCATGGGAGAGGGTTGGCTAGCGATGGCATGATGACGGGAGAGGGTGGGCTTGCAGGGGGATACTGTGTGCATGATGAGGGGGGAGTGAGGCCTAGCAAGGGGTATACTAATGGCATGATGACGGGGAAGGGAGGGCTAGTAGGGTGGAAACTCATGGTAGGCAATGAGATGGAAGGGAGGGCTAGCAGGGGTAATTTAGGGCATGATAAGGGGGAGGGGAGGGCGGGGAAGGGAGGGCTAGTAGGGGGGTACCTTACGGCATGGTAAGGGGGAAGGGAGGGCAGGGTAGGGAGGGAGGCAATGGCAATGGGGGGAAGGCAGGGCAGGTTTGGAGTTGGACTGAAGGAGGTGCGCAGCAGGTAGTGAATGGTGGCAGGGTAATGGCAGGGCAGAAGGGGTTTAGGGCAGGGGTTAAACGGCAGGGCAGGGTAGGGAGGAATACCATTGTCTCACCTCGTGCAAAATCGTTGGTTTTGTCCACTTTGCCTTTGTGGACGTGGCGCCTTGTGTGAGGGAGTTGTGACGTAGGGGTATGTGTGCAAGCTAGCCTGCACCTAAACACGGGGCAAATAGGGGCAACACGCGGGGATAGCAGGGGGTAAACATGGGGCTAGCACGGGGGAAACATGGGGCTAGCACGGGGGAAAAATGGGGCTAGCAGTAGGGGGGTAACATAGCACGGGGGATACATGGGGCCTGTAACGGGCAACATGGGGCTTGCAGGGGGAATCTTTGGGATAGCGTGGAGGAATCGTGGGAGCAAAGCTTGTGGGTAAACATGACGCAAGCATGGGATGCTAAACGGGGCGAGCATGTAGGCGTGGAAGTGAGGAGTGCGGCGAGCATTCGGGGAGGTTGTTTCTGGGTCGGCTCACATGCCAAGGGCATGCACAGCAGGGCACCCAGCAGGCGACTTTTGAGTAAACTGGTGAAGTCACCTGTGCAGTGTGCAATGCACCCACCAGGCGGGGTTGGCAGCAAGGGGCAGACCAGCGAGGAGAGCAGCCCGAATGGCCAACGGGTCAAGAGAGACCAGGCGATTGAGCGGCCCCAGTTGGCAAGCCAGTCGGATCTTAGCGCTCCACACGCTAAGATGAGCAGCGATGCACTCACCGCCCAGTCTGGGAAGGGAGGGGGACACAGGGAAACGAGGATGTGACGAGAAAAGGCAAGTAGGATTATGCGGGCTGATAGGTTCCCATGCTGGTGAGCACTCCACACGCTGCTGAGAGCAGCGTTGCACTCACCACCCAACCATGGGAGGGAAGGATAGGGAGGGAAAAGAGGATGTGACATGCGAATGTGCGTAAGAGTGTGGTGACAGGGTGATTCATTTGCTGGCGTGCACTCCACACACTGCTGTTCGCAGCGATGCACTCACCACGGCGCCTTGGAAGGGAAGGGGAGGGAGGGAAAAGAGGATGTGAGTGGCGAAGGTGAGTAAGAGTGTTCTGGAAGGGAGGTCCCTTTGCTGGTGAGCACTCCTCACGTTGCTGTGAGCAGCGATGCACTCACCACCCAACATTGGAAGGGAAGGGGAGGGAGGGAAAAGAGGAGGTGAATGGCAAAGGTGAGTAAGAGTGTTCTAGAAGGGAGGACCCTCTGCTGGGTGAGCACTCCTCACGTTGCTGTGAGCAGCGATGCACTCACCACCCAACATTGGAAGGGAAGGGGAGGGAGGGAAAAGAGGATGTGAGTGGCAAAGGTGAGTAAGAGTGTGGTCAGGCACCAGGTTCCCTTGTTGGTGAGCACTCCATACGTTGCTGTTTGCAGCGATGCACTCACCTTGGCACCTTGGAAGGGAAGGGTAGGGTGGGAAAAGAGGATGTGACAAGCGAAGGTGAGTAAGAGTATGCGGGCTGAGTGGTTCCTTTGCTGGTGAGCACTTTCCATGCTGCTGTGAGCAATGATGCACTCATAACCCAGCCTTGGAAACATGAGGCTAGCATGGGGGAAACATGGGGCTATCACGTGGGGAATATGGGGCTATCAGGGGGGAGAAATGGATCTGACATGGGGGGAACAGGGGGTTCGCAGGGGGAAACAGGGGGCATGATGGGGGAAACAGGGGGCATGATGGGGGAAACAGGGGGCATGATGGGGGAAACAGGGGGCATGATGGGGGAAACAGGGGGCATGATGGGGGAAACAGGGGGCATGATGGGGGAAACAGGGGGCATGATGGGGGAAACAGGGGGCCTGCAAGGGGATGGGGAATGGGGAATGCGGAATGGGGAATGCGGAATGGGGAATGCGGAATGGGGAATGCGGAATGGGGAATGCGGAATGGGGAATGCGGAATGGTGAATGCGGAATGGGGAATGCGGAATGGTGAATGCGGAATGGGGAATGCGGAATGGGGAATGCGGAATGGGGAATGCGGGATGGGGAATGCGGAATGGGGAATGCGGAATGGGGAATGCGGAATGCGGAATGGGGAATGCGGAATGGGGAATGCGGAATGGGGAATGCGGAATGGGGAATGCGGAATGGGGAATGCGGAATGGGCTCCCCGTATTAGACGGCACAAATGCGTTTGGGGGCACGTGACGCAGCTCCCACCTCTTCTTATATGCGCAAAGACGGTGTGT